ATATCTGTTTATTTTCTGCCTCCTTTACTAGAATATAAATCCCAGAGGGCAAAGACGTGGTTTGTTCTGTTCACTGCTGTAGTCCCAGTGCCCAGTATACTGCCTGGCACACGGTAAAAGTTCAGTAAAGATTAGTTGAATGAATGAATGAGTGAATAGTAAAATTTAAGCTCACAATTACTTGGGCTGGGTTTATAGCACAAAGCTGTTCTATGATCATACAAGTTATGGGCAAACTCATAGGTTGAGTTTTGGAGCACTATAGAAAATTTGGCTACTTGGACCTGAAAATGTCCATAGCCTTTGACCAAGGAGTTCTACTGCTAAGATTGAGCCTAACTACAGAAATTTATGTACAAGTAGGAAAGATGTTTGTGGCAATTTTATTTAACACAGAAAAACTGGAAATTACTTATTGATTGATTTTTGGTGAGGAAGACTGGCTCTGAGCTAACATATGTGCCAATCCTCCTCTATTGTATATGTGGGATGCTGCCACAGCATGACTTGATGAGCAATGTGTAGGTCTGTGCCCAGGATCTGAACCGGTGAACCCCGGGCCACCGAAGTGGAGCATGCGACCTTAACCACTATGCTACCAGGCCGGCCCTAATTTAATTATTTACTAATAATTACAATACTTATTAATAATTTGACATTTATAATTTAATGTCAAACAATAGGATAATGGCTAAGAAAAATATGGCGTATCACCAAGACAGACTAGTATGTAGCTGTTAAGATGTTTTATAAAGTTTTAAATCATATATGTAAAGGCCTATGATAAATTGTTAGATGAAAAGAGCAGAGCCACTTTTGAGTAGACAGTATGATACCAACAAAGGGGCGTGCCAAAGGGCAAATAATGCCAAAGGGTTGTGGTACTATGGAAAAAAGTTTTCTTGCATACTTAGGCATGCTTTGTTCTCCTTTCTGAATTTTCCAAATTTTCTATGAGTGATCAAGTCATAATTTGATAAATGAAAGAGATACAGTCAAAAAGTTGAAGATTATTTTGTGCCTTACTGATAACCTTTGTTTCTGGCGCATATAGGTAAAATTGTTAATCATATGCAATAAAAATGTACAGTTAGACAATGCTATGAAGAGGAGTAAAAGAATAATTTTGTAAAGATGTTTTTCTCAATAACTTCTCACAAGAGAAAGTGTTTTGCAAATAAAACTGTATAATTTTGACTCATTTCGAAAGTTTCATGCCCAAAACGCCTATGTGAGGGTGGCAATTTCTAACGAATTAGAGAAGATGGAAAATGGTTTTAAAAGATTCCACAGTTTTTCTTCTGTTTTCAGATTTTTTTTCGCCTCTTCCTTTAAGATGGTAAATTAATGAAGTTTCAAGAGAGAAAGTGAGTCTAAAAGAGAAAGAAATAGCCTTGGACTTCCTTTTGAACCTCATCTGCAGGTTGCAGACAGACTAATTCCGGACTGATTTGCTAATTCTGGCCAAAGTATGCCCTCCCCCTCTTTGACCCTTTCGGGCAAGTCAAGAAAGCGGACTGGACTGTGCTGGGAGCACAAACCACGGGGGCTCTGTCACTCTCCAGGAAGTAAGCTTGTTCCCCTACTAGATGTGACATGTGAAAGCCAGCACTGCTGCTGACATCACCTAGTGGTTGTCATAGGATATATTTTTAAGCTGGAACACTTATAATTTGATGGTAAAGACACAAAGCAGTTAACACAGCTGCTGTGGGTGGGAGGGGCCTGGAGCCCCACCTGTTGGGAACATCTGCTGCTCTTCCTTCCCCCGGGTGTTGGGTGACGTTGTAGGGGAGACAGAGCGTCCTTAAAGACACTGATCTGGTCTGCTCTCCTCCTTGTACAGACCACGGGAAACGAGACTACACAGGGCTGCGATGACGTTCAAGGTCACCCATGCTGCTTGATTAAAATAGTTCAGCGGACTTACCCGTAAAATAATCAGTTTTCTAACAAGAAGATTAAGAGTCTACGTTGGGAAAATACTAAAGAAAGTAATAATATAACAAAATGACTAAGAGAAGCAAGACTCCAAATTTGACGTTAAAATGTTATCACCTAAACCTATTCTTTCTATACCAAAGGATATTTTACAATAGCAGTATGGCTTAGGAAACAGGATTTTCTTTTATTTTGTCTTTTTTAATTTGGAAAAAGTCTCAAAAATACAGAAAAGTATAGAGAATAATATAAAAAACTACCATGCACACATGTTAATCTTTTGTCTTCTTTATTTCATATATATATATGTCATATATGTATTTATATGTCTGCCTGTGGCTCATAACATAAGAAAGCAAGCTACAGAAAGCCAGCATCTTTAAGCCAGGAGAAGCCCCATGAGGATGAATTATATTGTGCTGTGAGGTCCTAATGTTCGATGATACAGAATATATACATTATATATGATATATATATATCTAAAGGAAAGAAGACAAAAATATATATTCAAGTTTTTAATATTTTTAAAATATAGTACATTTTGTATTTATAATGTAATATAAAATTTAAATATATTTAAATTATTTATATATTTATGTATGTATTTAAATAAAAGAAACACATTAGGTACAATTGAAGTCCCCTCTATATTTCTTTTTAGCCCATTCCTCTCCTCCCCTACTTGCAGAAGAAACACCCTCATAAATTTAACCTGGACTCTCACATCCAATAAACATATTTGTTTGTTTGCTTGTTTTACCCATAAAAAAAGATTTTTTATGATCAAAATATTAATCAAAATTAAGTGGATCCTAACATAGTTGTTAACATGCTTGCCTTGAGGTAATAAGATTTTTTTGCCAAGAGAGTCAATTCTAGCAACTTCAAACCTTTGAACTAGATTCCTGAAAATAAAGACCTCAGAATTCTTGAAATAACTACTACAAAGTCTACTGTTGTTTATGATTTTATTCCTTGGATCCTTATGCAGAACCTGATTGACTCAAATTTATCATTCAATCAAACTTAATCTGGTTACCTGATCTAGAAGACAGAAAGGCTGTTAAAGTCAGAGCTAATAAAAGCAGACATGACAGCAAAGTGACTACTGTCCTGATAACGAAGGAAACAAAAAAAGACAGCAGAAACTGGCTCTATGCCTATATGACATTGGCTAGAGAAAACCTTAAATTACTTTAGGAAGGCAGAGAGGCACAATATCTTTTAGAAAGATTTCCATCAAAAATTGTTGAGTTTAAAAAAATTTCAAATGCTTTGAGGCTCTGGCAGTCACACAGCCCGGTTTTGTACGCTGGCTCTGTCACTAACTGGATGACCTCCCCCTCTCTGTCTCCAGGTTTTCCCAGTAAAATGGGAGTAATCCTAGTCCCTGCTGCATTGAGGTGTGAGAATGAAGCGAGCTATTCCATGGAAAGCGTGAGGAACAGCGCCGGCACCGAGTAAGCACACAGTACATGTTAGCTTCTAGTAGCAGCAAGGACTAGCAGTCATATTTGGGAAACTAGCCCATGTTCAAGAGTTCATAAGCTGGTATGTGGAGACACCACCAACTCTGGAGCCTCGCTCTATCATCTGGATCCTCCGCACCCCTTTGCCAGCTGTGTGGGCCTGGGGACAATGCCAGCACAGAGCTTCTGGGGCTGCTGTGAGCGTTCAGTGGTATGGAGGGTGATCAGTGCTGTGCCCTGAGAACATGCTCAGTCAACATTAGCTGTTAGAAATATTCCAGATAAAGAACGCCTCAGTATTCTTAAAGCACACCCTATTTTTAAAGCACAGAAGCAAGCTCACGGGTTCCTCACCCCAAGCAGTCAGGGGAGCTGGAGGGTCTAAGTGCACTGACGAGTTTATCCAGAAGCAGCACGTCTAGGTTCGCAAGGACCGTATGCCGTCATCCATCGCCGAGACACAGCCCTGTCTGTCACAACTCTGCAGGAGTATGCGGAGCCCAAAAGGTGCGCTTTTTTCCTTGAAAAGGGGTGGCTGAGCTCCCTCTGAAATTCTTACTGATGAGATCACTGAGAAAGGGAGGCCTAGAAGATGCTCTTAAAAATAGACCATTGAGGGGCTGGCCCCGTGGCCGAGTGGTTAAGTTCGCGCACTCCGCTGCAGGCGGCCCAGTGTTTCGTTGGTTCGAATCCTGGGCGCCGACATGGCACTGCTCGTCAGACCACGCTGAGGCAGCGTCCCACATGCCACAACTAGAAGGACCCACAACGAAGAATACACAACTATGTACCGGGGGGCTTTGGGGAGAAAAAGGAAAAAATAAAATCTTTAAAAAAAAAAAATAGACCATTGAAATATGATAACAAGCCCTTCGTAGTTCCAAAGCTCTTTCACACACTGACTCCTCAGAGAGGAAAGGGAGGTGCAGAGAATTTAAGGGGCGTGCTCAGAGCTCCTCTATTGGTAAGAGGAGAATCCAGCTCCCTCCCACTTCCAGTTCAGAACTTTGATTACCTGTGTGGCCCCCTGGAATGGTCCTTGCTGGCATGTACTTGCCGTGGTGGGGACTATTTCATTTTTCCAACTTTTTTGTTACTTTGTTTTAGTCAGCTTAGCTCTAAATCCCATACCCTCACCTAGTACATCACATATGCAGTGTGCGTGTGCGCATGAGTAGGAATGCACACTTACACCCATGCACGCACACGAGCACGTGCTGGAGGACAACTGAATCCTTTTTTGCATTTTATTTCTTTTTAAGTGTACTTTTAAAACACGAAAAATTAGATTGAGGTTGAAGACGGTCGTGATTCAGTCAAATTTTGAGTATGCTAAATCACTTTTTTGGACTGAAGCCTGAGAAGTAATTCAGTCCCAACAGAGGTGGGAAGAAAAAGGGTTTTCACTTTAAATGAACCATGGTTTTTTTCTGAAAACAGGATCTAATTTCTTTTGTGAAAGAAGAGCAAAAGAACTTTTGTTGCCGTGTCCAGCTGTCAAAGCCGCCTCCCATACTTTTGCCCTGCAGCAAAAGGAAGGGACATCAGGTGACAGACCCCAAATTTCAACTAGTCACACAAATTACAGACCTTCTTATCATGATGTCCTCTTGACCTTTTGCCTTTCCCCTACAATAAAGAAGGAGACACAGTTTAAATCAAAATGACTCTCATGGGCAATTTTGCAAAACAAATAGAAGGCACAGAGTCTCCCGCCCCCTCCCTCCCCAGCTTCCCCCGCTGGGCCAGCCTGTTCCCTCTTTCCGTGCAGACACGAAAGCCCTTCCCACCCCAGACAATGATGCTCTACTTGCCAAGGGCCCTGTTCGCTTTGAAGAAAGGGCTTGACAAAGTAAATATTTACAAAAACAACTATAATCAGATGCCAAGTCCCACTTCTAGAGGACACACAGAGAAGTATTTACAAGAAAGGGCTTCTCTGTGTGGCACCACTCTGAGGGGTGGGGACTGATCCTAAATCTGTTCTGGCTCTATCAGGAGGCCAGGCAGGAGGCAGTCTGTCTCTCAGACTTTTAACGTCCACGCTAGGACACTGTCCACAGAGTATATGAATAATGACATTTACCATTGAAGAGTCAATTCAGAAATGTACCAATTTGAGACCACAGGAAAGAGTCTTTAAATACTACTGCTTCTAGCAGTAGGGGAAGCTTTGTGAAGTCAACAGAGAGAAATTAAAGGCAGGGTTAATTAGCATTCAGAAAACGTCATTATTAAAAAAAATTATTTTTGAGGCAGACCCCTTACTGGCTAAAACTTCGTCATATTTGCATTACCTGTAGATCTGTTCTCTATAAAACTGTGGGAACAGGGTGGGAATCAAAACAGGTGCCCCCGCCTGTTCCCATTATGCACATTAGCCCATGGCCTGCGCACAGCCTGTGAAACAGCTGAAGTTGAAACCGTAATGGTGCGGGCCAAACACTAGCCTGAAGGCCCGTCTCTCTTGGGATTTGGCCATTTACATTGATTTTTTTTTTTACCCACGTTTTTCATGAAACACAAATATTTGCCATGGCAACTGGGGTGTCACATGACATGCTGCTCCATAAACAGCTTGGAAATCTCTTAAGGGGAAACAGCCCCCCAGTGCTGCAAAGGCAGTGAAAACATCTCGAGGGGGATTTGGGCGTTAAAAGATGAAGGTCTGGGAGGAGCAGGTAACAGCTGACTGCAGACACGGTAGGAGTAATCTCTTCTGTGCCACTCTTCAGTTTCTCTTTCTTTTTTTTTAATGGGAGCAGCTGTAAACATGACCACGTAGGGTAAACCCTGAAAAAGACACTGCCAGCTGTCTCCTTTCTGTGGTGAAAAGTTTCAATTATCACAAGTCAGTCTGCGGCTCATAAACATAAGAAAGCAAGCTACAAACGTCCAGCCTCCTTAAACCAGGAGAATCTCGTGAGGCTGAATATGTTGTACTGTGACGTCCTAATGTGGAAGAATGTAGAATTCCTTCCCCCTTCCTCATTAAGGTAGTCTGTGCAAAACTGGACGCCTTGCTTTTTTTATCCTCTGCATAAAGACAAGTGAAATACAGTAAAACCTCACGATAACATACCCCATGCGACACAAATTTGGATATAAAGCAATAGCTACTGCTAAGACTCTGGGACTCCTGACCAGCTAATGGTCTAGGTTGACCCAGTCATTTAGTTAATCTTGCAATAATGTGACATGATTGAATTCTTCTAGCCTCCACTGATAATGTCATGGTAGAATTTACTTGTATAACAATCCCCTCTTTTAAAATCAAATGCGTCCCAGCAGCAGCTGAAACAGTATTAATTTCTATGGGAAAGGTACAACTCTACAAGACATGTGTATTTCCAAAACTCTCAGAGAATATTGTAAATGAGCACAGTTTTCTTTTCTTAGTTAGAAATATGAATACCTTCGATCTTTGTTTCTTGGGAGAGATCTTCACTTCTGCTGGAGTCTGCTGTGATTTCCGAGATGCAGCAAAAGGGGCTGTGGATGGAGGTGATGCAATGTTACCTCTTCCAGAAGGAGAGGCTGAGTCATTGGGTTGATGCTATTGGGTTCGCACCTTGACAGTCAAATGGCTCTGTCACCCATTGACTGTTCACTACCAGTCTTCACGCATCAATTCAATGAAACATTTGTAATCATTGACTTCAAAAGGAAAACAAAAGCATGGGAGGGCAACGTTTCCATCAGAATATAAGGTCAGCTCGCCTTACACAAACTGCCTAGATGAAAAGGCAAATTTTAAAAGCAAGTGAATTAGAGAGTAACCTTTGTCTTATAAAATGTTTTGCTACAAGATTTCTTTAAATAACATTATTCCCAAAATCACTTAAAAGGTAAATTAACGTAACTACATATGATGGACTATTCTGTTGTGTAGTCATTGAAAAAGATGATTCTAAAGAATTTAAATGGCTTGGGGGAAATAATACAAGTGAAAAACAGTAAATATTATTTTTGAAATTAATTAAATCCATAAGCAACAAATTTTGGGGACCACATCTACTCCATAGGGAGTTAAGCCTACATGGTAGATAATACTTGGGAGAGAAATTACCTCTTTCCTGTTGCCTGGCAGCAGCCCAACTGCCCTTTACAAACAGCCGGAGTCTGACATTCTCAGGGGAGAAAGATCCTTACACTACTGATTCCAAGAAAGAGAACAAGTAATTTATTTAAATAGTTCATTGAGTCAAAGAAGTGAGGCGTCTTTCCACTCACTTCCTTAGTCCACCCTTTTGTGTTAGTTCTATAACAACAGAAAGAATTGACAGATGTGGATCAAATACAGCCCATCAGGGTACAATTTAGAATTCGCCTTGAGGACTCAGTTCTCTCACGCTGCCTTGAGTGGGCTGCAAGGAATGTCTTCAGCCATCTCTTGAAAAGTAGCAGGAATTCCAGAGTCTTATCACTAAAACTCCCCTCCACAAAACGGATGTGTTTGTTGCATCTGACCAATCCAGTTTTACTACCTTTCTGGGTTTTGCTGGTTTCCAGGGAGCCTCCCTGACCAAGCCAGCCCCCCACCTCCCCAGCCCTGGGCTGTGGGCTAGAGTGGACGAAGACTCCATTTACAGCCTATACATTTGTGCCTCGACCTTTGTGCTCTCCTGCCCCACTGTCCACCTGGACTTGGCTCTCCCACTTGTGAAGCCAGTCCACACCCTGCCCCCAGGCTGACTGAACCCACAGATTCACTGTAAAGCCGGTTACTCCCATTGTCTTCAGGCTCCGTACACTTTTTGTTTAACTTTCAGGCTCCGGCAGACAAGCGAGATTTACGGTTAAACTCCCAAAGTGAAACAAAATAGCAGCTGAGAAGTTTTCAAGTGGGCCTAATATTAAAAGGATTTTAGTAAAATTTTAATGAAATTTGGTAGGATAAAGATCTAAAAGGTTTGTAATTTCACATGGATTATCCACAGTTAATGGTATCTCTGAAAATTTTTTTTTTAAGTTTTTCTTAGTTACCTGCAGAAATTCTATCTCTAAAGTATAACTTCACGCAGCCTCGAATTTTACGGGACACAGGCATTTGAAGAACGCGTCTGTGTCTGAAGGCACCACCTATTTTGTGACTCAATTTTCCTTCTGTAAAAATCTGTATGATACATTTTGCCAGTGTTAACGTCAGCTGAAAACCGTTGTCTTTCTGGGGAAACTTGTAGGCTTCTGCGGAAGTTACTGACACGTGCCTCTCCAGCAGCCATCACCCTCTCTTCCTGGCTAATTTTAGAAGCTCAGTTTCTTCAGGGTAACAACGTGCCCACGTCCTAGTGTCACAAGATTTAGCAAAAAATCTTAAAAAGAACACACAGTTAAACTTTAATTTTAGATGAACAACAAATATCATTTTAGTATAAATATGCCCTGAATATTAACTATATTTAATACTCGAGGAAGAACAGACTTTCATGAATGGATTAGTCCAAGCATAACGTGTCATACTAAGTATATAGTATGTGTGTCCCAAATCCTAACCCTAACGCTAATCTTATCCCTGGACATTCACTTTCCCAGCCTTTCTTATAGTTAACAGTGGCCATATGACCAATGAGATGTAAGGTGACGTCCATCCAGGGGCTTCTGGGAAGAGACTGGCACCACTATTTCCCCTTCTTCCTGCCTGGACTGTGTAAGTTAAGGCCCAACTCTACGGGAGCAGTCTTAGAGCCATGAGGTGGCAAGCATGAGGATGAAATCAAACATGCTAAGGAAGGCAAAGCAGAAAGAGAGCCACGCAGCCCTGTTCATCAGCACCACCAGCCCTAGACTCCCTGCTTCCTGAGTTCTTATGTGTGAGACAAATGAACTCCTCAGTGTTTAAGCCACTGGTAGTTAGGGTTTCTGATGTTTGTAGTCACATGCATTTCTGGCTGGTACCCATTCCTCCCTCCTTGTTCTCTCCATTCCATTCTTTGTCTTATTGCATGTGCTGGGGCCTCAAGGACAATGTTCAACAGTTGGCCAGTGGTGGCAGTAGTGGTCATCCTTGAACTGTCTCTGCTTTATTTATTTTTTTTTTTTTAGGAAGATTAGCCCTGAGCTAACATCTGCCGCCAATCCTCCTCTTTTTGCTGAGGAAGACTGGCCCCTGAGCTAACATCTGTGCCCATCTTCCTCCATTTTATATGTGGGACGCCTGCCACAGCATGGCTTGATAAGCAGTGCGCAGGTCTACGCCTGAATCCGAACCAGCGAACCCCTGGCCACGGAAGCAGAGTGCATGAACTTAACCCCTACACCAGTGGGCAGGCCCTGAACTGTCTCTGCTTTTAATGGAGAAATAGGATGCTTCTAAAGTTTCCCTACTAAGAGTATTGCTTACTCTGGGGTTTTGGTTGAAAACAATAATCAGCTTCACAAAATTCTCTTCTACTTCTACTCTGTCAGGAGACTTTTTCCCTGTCATCAATGTTGAACTATATTGAATGATGATAATGATGCTGCTGCTGATCTATTTATTTATTTTTGTAAGGAAGATTGGCCCTGAGCTAACATCTGTTGTCAATCTTCCTCTTTTTCTGCTTGAGGAAGATTGTCCCTGAGCTAACGCCTGTGCCAATCTTCCTCTATTTTGTATGTGGGATGCTGTCACAGCATGGCTTGACAAGCTGTGCTGGGTCCACACCCGGGATCTGGACCTTCGAACCCCAGGCTGCTGAAGCAGAGCACGCAAAGTTAACCACTACACCACTGGGCCAGCCCCACGAATGATTATTTTTTATGTTGGCGTATATTGTAACGATGTTGCCCCTTCATTCCTGATATGGGTAATTTGTGCCTTCTCTTTTTTTATCTTGGTTAGTCTGGCTAGAATATTACCAATTTTGCTGATATTTTCCAAGAAATAGAATTCAGTTTCACTAAGTTTCTCTATTTTTTTCTACTTTTCAATTGCTTTGACTTTTACTTTTTTTCCTATCATTTCTTTCCTTCTGCTTGATTTTGGTAAAATTTGCCTTTCTTTTTCTAGTTTCTTAAGGGGGGAGCTTAGCTCTTCCTACTTTTCTAACATAGGCATACTTTGTTTTATTGCACTTTGCTTTATTGTGCTTTGCAGATACTGCGTTTTTTACAAATTGAAAGTTTATGGCAACCCTGTGTCAAATAAGTCTGTTGGCGCTGTTTTTCCAATAGCATTTGTATACTTTGTGTCTCCATGTCACATTTTGGTAATTCTCACAATATTTCAAACTTTTTCATTATTATTATATTTGTTATGGTGATCTATGACTACTGATCTTTGATGTTACTATTGTGGTTGTTTTGGGGCACCATGAACCGTGCCCATGGCAAACTTAATTGATGAATGCTGTGTGTGTCCTGACTGCTCCATCAACCAGCCATTTCCTCGTCTCTCTCCCCCTCCTCGGGCCTCCCTATTCCCTGAGACACAACAATATTGAAATTAGGCCAATTAATAACCCTACAATGGCCTCTAAGTGTTCAAGTGAAAGGAAGAGTCGCACATCTCTCACTTTAAATCACAAGCTGGAAATGATTAAGCCTGGTGAGGAAGGCATGTCAAAAGCTGAGATAGGCCAAAAGCTAGGCCTCTCGTGTCAAACAATTAGCCAAGTTGTGAATGCAAAGGAAAAGTTCTTGAAGAAAATTAAAAGTGCTACTCCAGTGAACACATGAGTGACAGGAAAGCAAAACAGCTTTATTGCTGATATGGAGAAAGTTTTAGTGGTCTGGATAGAAGAGCAAACCAGCCACAACATTCCCATAAACCAAAGCCTAGTCCAGAGCAAGGCCCTATCTCTGTTCAACTCTATGAAGCCTGAGAGAGGTGAGGAAGCTGCAGAAGAAAAGTCTGAAGCTAGCAGAGGTTGGTTCATGAGGTTTAAGGAAAGAAGCCATCTCCATAACATAAAAGTGCAGGGGGAAGCAGCAAGTGCTGATGCAGAAGCTGCAGCAAGTTCTCCAGAAGATCTAGCTAAGATCATTAATGAAGGGGCTACACTGAACAACAGATTTTCAGTGTAGATATAACAGCCTTATAGTGGAAGAAGATGTTATCTAGGACTTTCATAGCTAGAGAAGAGAAGTCAATGCCTGGCTTCAAAGTTTCAAAGGACAGGCTGACTCTCTTGTTGGAGGCTAATGCAGCTGGTGACTTTAAGTTGAAGCCAGTCCTGATTTACCATTCCCAAAATCCTAGGGCCCTTAAGAATTATGCTAAATCTCCTCTGCCTGTGCTCTATAAATGGAACAACAAAGCCTGGATGACAACACATCTGTTTACAGCATGGTTTGCTGAATATTTTAAGCCCACTGTTGAGACCTACTGCTCAAAAAGAAAAAAATTCTTTTCAAAATACTACTGCCCATTGACAAGGCACCTGGTCACCCAAGAGCTCTGATGGAGACGCACCATGAGATTAATGTTAATGTTGTTTTCATGCCCGCTAACACAACATCCATTGTGCAGCCCATGGATCAAGGTGTAATTTCAAGTCTTATTATTTAGG